TTGAAAAAGAAGGGTGCGGTATAATTTCATCATTGGGGGCAATTTGTGGAGAGAGAGAAACGGTAAGTGTATCCACCCACCAGCCGCCATTTTGGTTTTACCCATAGATTCACGTGCCACAAGTTCGTGAGATGAAAGAATTCCGGCAAATATTTACCCTCATAAGTCATTGGATTTCTGAATAATGATATTTGGAAGAGCAATAGTTCTTAATCCGACCAGCTATGATCGGTGCGATGACCAGTCATGTGATTTGATCATGAGATTTAGGTCACATGACTTGATAATGAGATCCACTGTTGCCCATAAAGTTGGAATTGTTCCAGTCCTCTCTTTTCTTGAAATGATATTGACAATATGATTTTTTATTGAGAGATTAAAGATAAACTTGATTTCTGGTAAAAAAAAAAAAAATTAATTCTCACAGAATCAAACGAAACTTACACTGAATGTTCAAGATTACAAATAAATGACATGTGCCAAACAATTTTGGAAGAAAATGTATACTGGCTGAGTAATGAGCATAGAAAGACAAGGAAATCAAAGTAGTACTAGCCCCGACACCATGTGTGTTGTCCCATACATAGCTTTCTGTGTACAGTGCTTGTTACTATACCAAGACTCGGTTATGATTTTGATGACTCCAGAACCTTTCAGTGCACACCAATACTTACATGCTACATGATCAACTGTTTCTGATCCTTTCCACACCTTTTCTTTCACAATGCAATCGCATTACCAGTACTAAAGTTTATCTTTAAGTAGGTATCTTTCTCAGAACTCAATCTTTATCGATCAAGCTTTTCATCAGTAAAGTTTTGAGTAGACATAAACTTTTTCTATCTAGCAAAAAATTATATTGTCACAATCATTTCGTGAAAATAGGTAAGAAAAATGTTATTCCAGTTTACATCACGCCTACTTTGTTGATGTTTTGGTATTAAGATCAGATTGCGCTAATTCCTTTCTCTCCCCCCTCTCTCTCTCTCTCCCCCTCTCTCTCCCCTCTCTCTATTTTTCTCTTTCTCTCTCTCACTCACTCTCTCTTTCACTTTCTCTCTCTCTCTATCTTATTATAAATTTACTAGGCATACCGTAAATTTGTTGTTTATGTAGATACATATTCAACAAGAAACTTTACAACGTTTGTTCCAACATCTTACTTTCTGAAACAATACCTACATCCCAATACGCATTCACGTGTGCATAAACCGTTTTTAAGGTATACAGTTCTTGAATACAAAAAATATGGATCTCCTGGATTTGGGTTTTATTGTTGGAGTAATGTGCTTTCCAATCAATTATTTTTTTGAACTTTGGATTTTCTTTCTCAAATAATATATCTTGAGCAGGAAATAAGTAGGCTGGAGTCTTAATACGGATTTTATGTTATCTTTTACTAAACGAATGGTGCCGAAAATGGGTAATTAATTTAATGCATAAATTGGCTTGTTTGGCTTCATATTTTTTTTCTTCTAGGATTTCCCTACAATCGATTTTTTTTTTAAACTTTGGATTTTCTTCATCAAATATTATATCTTGAGCAGGAAATAAGTAAGAGGGAGTCTTATACGGACTAAAAAGAGGTTAATTCGGTTTTGGTTCATAGACAAAGAAATAACAGCTAGACATCCATGCACGTATGCAGAGGTAGAGGGAGAGGGTATTGAGGGAGGGAGGGAGAGAGCTTGAGAGAGATCGGATCGGATATGCAGAGAGATAAAGACGAGTTAACGAGATATATTGTGATAAAAAAAATGATTTATGGGTCAAGAAGACATCTTATTTTATCTCTTACTAAACGAATGTTGCCGAAAATGTTTAATTAATTTAATGAATAAATTGTCTTGTTTGCTTTCATATTTATCTCTAGGATTCTCTAACAATCATTTTTTTGTTTAAACTTGGGATTTTGCACATCAAATAATATACCTTGAGCAGGAAATAAGTAGGCGGGAGTTTAATATGGATTCCAAAGAAGTTAATTCGGTTTGGTTCATAAACAAAGAAAGAATAGCTATACAGCCATGCACGTATGCAGAGAGAGAGAGAGAGAGAGAGAGAGAGAGAGAGAGAGGGGGGGGGGGGGGGGGAGATCGGATATGCAGAGAGATAAAGGCGAGTTAATTAGATTTATTGTCATAAAAAACGATTTATGGATCAAAAAGATTTTGTATGTTATCTTGAAGTAAACGAACGGTGCAGAAACGGTTAATTAATTTAATGAATAAATTGGCTTGTTTGGCTTCATATTCTTTTTTTCTAGGATTTTCCAACGAGTGACCTATCACAAAGAGGATGAAGGGCCTCGAACTTAATCCGGATTTTAATGATGAGATTATTTACAAATGATCATGAACGATCTACTCTGCTGGGTAACTGAAGAAAAATGAAAATCATACGTTTGCAGCGATATGCATGCAAATAAAATTCAACAGAGAGATGGAAAACGAGAGGTTGAAGATTTCAGACCTTCGTGACCAAGTTACTTTCGGAGTTTAAGTACATAATTCGGGAGAAGAAACATATTCATAGAAGAAATATGAGTAACGGGCATTTCTGTAATGAAAATAATCATATCAATAATTGTAGAGATTATTAAATCGATTTTGGTATAAATGTTATCTTGGTCTTAAGGCTATGTACCGTAAAAGACCAACAAGCCCACGAAACCAATTTACTCTCTATTTTGTGGACCTTTTTAAAAGCTATACCTGAAGGTTCACGAGAGACAGGCGTTGGCTGTCGGTTATAAACATAATAATTATAAACCACACATAATATAGATAGATCCTGTTCATTTTTTTGGTTTCAGATAGAGTTTTATCGCTGTTTTGAAAATCCTCTTTGTTAAAGAATTACAGGGGAGAGTTCAGAATTAGTCTTTGTACAATTAGATCATAGTATAATATTATTATAATAATATAATTTTTCAGGATTCACCCCATTTGAATCGGATTGGAAAACTCAATGAATTGTGTGGAGAATCAATTGTCACTTTGCCAATAGGATCCGCGATTATATGGATAAGAAAAACCAAATTAATATGGGAAAGAAGAAGGCTTTAATAAGCAACAACATCCTACACATCAGCCTAGACATCCCTCTTTCAGTGTTTTTAATCTACGTCAAACGACAACAATCTTGGGGAAAAAAAGACATTGACTCCCTTTCAAGAAAGATGAAATGTGAGACAAATATTGCGTCTCCAATGTGGATTTGAAAACATTTAGTTTCAAGAAAGAAAACAAGAAAGCGAGAAAAATTAAGCCCCACATGAGCTTAAAACTACGAATGCATGATTAGTAGAGAGAAAAGGAAATGAGAGATGCCGAAGATGATTTTTGTACACTTTCAAAGTTTATTAATGTAAAACCCGGAAAACATTTACGATCATGATTTTCAACGCTTACCGAGACAAAAAAAAATCATAGATGCCTTAGATTAAACAACGTTTTCTGGAAAATCGTTTTTTGTTGTTGTTGCAAAGTGCTTTTTTTATATTCTGAAAAGAATTATTGTTCTATTAAAGTAACTCTAAGTGGACTGGTTGAGATGAAGAAAGTAGAATATTTTTTTTGTAGTAAATTAGTTGTGTCGTCTAGTAGATAGGTGACCGGACTGTTGGTCACAATGGTTCGCAGTTCGAGTCCCGCCGCGGCACGTATTAATGTCCTTCGGCAAGACACGTTTCTGCATTTGCCACACTCAACCCAGGTGAGGTAAATTGGTACCTGGCAGGAATCAATTCCTTGAAATGCTATAGTGCCATAATGGCTGCCATGCTAAAGCCGGGGTAATAATACTGTGTAGCGCCAGGGGTGTCAAGTTTGACAGAAATGAGCGCTATAAAAGAACCAACTATTATTATTATTAATGATTAAATGTGTATTTTTCACTCGCCGGTACATTTCGAAAGATATGAAATCTCGAAGAGTATTACTTTCCCTAGCTTGTGTAGAGGTAGGCCTACGCTGTGGTTTGTTACCCAGCTTATAATTATTATTATGGGCTCCCTGACTACCAAACAAGGCAACTGTAGCGGTTACAAAACACTTGTGCAAGACTGGTTTGTCATGTTTGAGGTTGTTCCAAATTGTGAAGGATCACCCCTTCTTTAGAGACCGTCAATACTACTGGGCCAGAAGGGATTAGACCACCCAGCCAGGTCACTGACAGGTGGCTATCTCATCAACTCAGCTCTCAACTAACATAGGAAAAAGAGGATCATGGGTACCAACAGGCACCGATTAGAGAAGTTTTCTATATAGAGGGGGCAAGTAGCTACAAGTAGGACAGTGGGGCTTTAAGAGACCGTATACTGGCTAACCAGTACGCCAACGAATATTGTTCAATTTGCTGTTGATTGTCCGTAAAGCGCTAATCGGTCAAGCCCTAATAGTTATATTGTAGATCTGTTAAACTCATGTACCACAAACCTACTCACAACTTGCGCAGCTATACAAAAGATACTCTTTTATTGAAAACCCCATCCCATAAAACAAAAGTAACATTGGAAGACTTAAAACTGTGGAGTAACTTACCGTTAGAAATAAGGGAAACACCATCGTTAAGTACTTTTAAATCAAAAACTAAAACACATCTTTTCATTTAACTTTGTTGTGTACTTTTTGAGCTCATCAGGAGCTTCTGCAGTGCAGCAAAATATACTTGCATAAAAAAATCTGCGCGTTATACTCTTAATAATATCATATAACATTTGTATAGGGTGTGTACACGTTGGCGTAATATGCACCCCCTATACCCTCAATGCAAAATGTCTTCATATTTTCCCGAGCCGTCTAATCGAGGACGGGGTGTATACGATGATATCACACATTATACTGAATACGCCACTTGTACATTTTCTGCATTTGAAATTTGTTTTTTAAAAGAATAAATGAATGAAGAATGATTTCTTATCTGGTTGGCAAAGATGAATAAAATGAGAGAAAGGGAACTTATTAAATCGGGAAAGTAGAAATGTCTTATACACTTACATGGTGAATCCTCGCATGCATGTGGGCAGACATTGCTGTTGCCGAGATGAGCCGCGGCCGCGGGGCTGGTGTTGTGGTGTATGGTCGAGCACTGGTAGCAGTACATGGTTGGTCTGCCTAGCTGAGCTATATGGGACAGTCAAAACCTTCTCCGGCCGAGTTTCGGCTGCTTCACCGACCTCCAAACCGAGAGGCACTCCGCGTAGACTGTAGTATGAAACACGAATTATCTCACGGTAATATTGTAGTAAGGGATATTGACAACACTGAGATTTACGGGGAAGGCCTATGAGGGGAATTGAAGCAATGTTTTTAGAAATGCAATTCGTCGATTTGGACTTCTATTGTGAAACGTATAAACTATACAATTGTCTGTATCTTTAATACAGGGAATGATAAACGTAAAAGAGACTTTTACAGTAAATAAATCTTTATCAAAGTCATTGAAACACAGATGTGTGGCAATTAAAATACCCAGATCATCCGGTAAAGGAAATCTGTGCTAAGAGAAAAATGGCGAGGTTTAGAGGAAATTGGCATTTCGCCGAAAGTCAGCCGATATTGTTCAAACTCCTGTTTCGAGATATTAATAGATTGTTCAAGATCGACAGTGAAAACCCATAAGTTACCCTTGTTATCACCATTAATTGTTTACTGCTCCTCGATAGCTGAACAGTATAAGAACTAACCATAAATAGCAACGCCCTTCCCCTTAGAAAGAGAAAAAAGGTTTCTAGTTCAATGAACACAAGATGGTTTCATTAATTTGGTCAACATATAGATTCTATTTTCTACTAGCGTAGGAGTTATGACGTTCTTACCAAAAACAAAATCGTCACGCTTAGAGCAAAATGATGTAATTTAAACTCATATGCCAGGATCAAGTCCAAGAGAAAATGTGTGGTGTAACAGCTAGGCGCCAATAAATAATCCTCACGTTGTAAAGAAAGTCGAATGACTCAAATCAATCCGTACTTCTTGATGCGAAGCATGAGAAAATGATTAGCTATTATAGTTCCGAGCAGAGATGAGCTGAGAGTCCACTCCTGTATTTATCCCTAAACATTTGGTATGCTTAGCGCGGTATTATGAGCTGCCACGGACGACGAATGAATGAAGATAGCAGACGACAAAGCTTGTCATTTTCTTCTGTCTTGGAGGGCGCGAAAATGGAAGTGACCGGAGCGGGCAATGTCGATGGAGACGATGGGAAAGTGATTCCACGCTTACCTCGGTCGCTTGTTTCGCCCAGCGGTGTCGCCTGCTCTGCGGATGCGCAAGACAATTTGCGCATTCGTCACTTGCATGTGCCACGACTAATAGGCAAATCACAGCCGCATTTGTTATCGACTCAGTGTGCAGATTTCGTATACCTTTCTCAAAACCCCTTGCTCGAGCGCAATTTCAGACACACTTACGACAGGTTTCTATCTTATAAATATATTCGTGGTCTTTTGATATTGATATCATAAAACCCAAATACACATCACGAATGTGTGCTTTTAATTTGAAAACAATTAAGAAAAAAGAAATTATACCCCTTTTTTTTTGCTAGAGGCATGTTTTATATTGAAAATCATCGTTTTTCATTCAACGATGTATCATGGGGGTGGGGGGCTGAAGGCACGAGCCCCATCACAAATTGAGAGTTGCTCTACGATTTCATTTTTTTTGGTTGAAAAATTGTAATAAAATAATAAATGAATTTATCTTATTGATTGGTGTAGCAATATGATTCGTAATGCAGGAGAATCATCTTTACTACTTTAAATCCATTATTGGTCATGATTGGTCATTATTGGTCAAAATGAGTTCGACTGATTTAGGAGATAACAGATACGATACATGTATAGCAATTCATAATGAAATCGCATCAAAGTCGTTCTTTATATTAAGTTAGTTTGTTACATGCTCCTGAGTATCTATATAATCTTCAAGCTAAAATGCAGTTTTCTCTGTTTATAGATAAATATTATTGAAGTAAATGTATTTTCATGACACTAAATTTTCTGCACGACTTTCATCTTTCATGATCTACTGATGATCCTTTTCCTGATAAAACTTACTTATCTCTGGATCCGATCAAAGTCCGATGATAGATCGGATATCAATTTAGGCAAGATATAAGAACGACCACAGGATGTTCCTTCGGGAAATATCCAATGATAAACATAATCGAATGATGTCGAAACGTGATTCATTTCATACTTCAGCCCAAATAGAATGACGATTGACTCAGATATGTAACTTTTTTTTGATCGATATGTAGATTCATATCGAAGATAAACGAGGTTTCTAACTGACCCCATATAGCATATCGTATAGACAGGTAAATTGTACTAAAACACATCCAAACCCTTCTAAATTTAGTATAACAACTTGTAGAGTTTATACAGATTACAGACGATGAAATGGAGGATAAGTAGTCCTGATTTTAAGAACTGGAGGTGTGTGTGTGTGTGTGTGTGTGTGTGTGTGTGTGCGTGTGTGTGTGTGTGTATGTGGGGGGGGGTGGTAAAGAGTAAGTGTGGTTTCAAGGAAGGGCAACAACAGTTTCTTTTACACGGTGATTTCTCTGTCAAAGTTGGAATCCGTAAATTCATCGATCGAGTCAAATGCCATACCATTTAGATATAGCGTTACAGGTGGTGATTCAGCCTATCAACTAAAACAACACTTTTTGCTTTTAAAGCTTGATTAGACATGCTTTGGTTACATGAACAAATAGCATAGAAAACAATTAAAGCTAAGATTGATCAAGACTGATATCTGAAACGGGTAACTTGAACTTGTTCTTTCAAAAAAGTGAATAGTGCCCGTTTCTTGTTTTCTGATCGCTTAAAGTGCATCAATTACCTACGTTAGGTGTTCATGTTTTTATATTTATTTAAGATATAAGCTTCAAATGATACTTACTTTAAAGACCGTCAACATTACTGGGCCAGAAGGGATTAGACCAAATAGCGAGGTCACTGACAGGTGGCTACCTCATTAACTCAGCTCTCAACTAACAAAAGAAAAAGAGGATCATGGGGGACCAACAGGCACCGATTGGGGAAGTTTTCTATATAGAGGGAGCAAGTAGCTACGAGTAGGACAGTGGGGCTTTAAATACACCCTAAATGTACATGAGAGCAACTAATCAGTAGACAGACTATGTAGTCGACGCACCCTTACGCGCTAGCATATAGCACAAAGCCCGCTATAGAGTAGGTCTTGGACTCCGTACGTGACTTCGGCTCTGTTTAAGTTATCCTTTAGTTTCTTCTTAAAGATAAACTTGAGTTCTGGTAAAAAAAAAAAAAAATGAATCTTCACAGAATCTAACGAAACTTACACTGAATGTTCAAGATTACAAATAAATGTCATGTGCCAAACAATTTTGGAAGAAAATGTATACTGGCTGAGTAATGAGCATAGAAAGATAAGGAAATCAGGGTAGTACTAGCCCCGACACCATGCGTGTTGTCCAATATACATCTATCTGTGTAAGTGATTGTTACTTTACCAAGACTCTGCCAAATTTATGATGATTTTGATGACTCTATAACCTTGCATTACACACCATTACTTACATGCTATATGATCAACTTTTCTGATCCCCATTCCACACCTTTTCTTTCACAATGCAATCGCATTACCAGTACTCAAGTTTATCTTTAATCTTTAATTTTTATCATATACAGTATATAAATAGTATATATAGCCTATATATATATATATATATATATATATATATATATATATATATATACATATTGCCAGGTGAGATTTTTTTTCTTTAGGTTGATTCATACATTGTAACGGAACGCATTTTTAACGGTGATACTGACATGTAGGTGCACTTTGAGTACATTCGAATTTTCTTAAACTTATAGCTCTTCTTTCATCCGCTATTCCGACGACGATGTTGATTTCATGTGATGAATAAATTCATATAATGAATAAATTCATGTTATGAATACAATAATTGAAAATAACCTAATCCAAAAGGAGGTTATCGCCTCAAAAAGCTGATATCAATTTTGATTACATTATGATCACTAAAAAACGCCTTTCATACTTTACACACGTTGAAATAAAAATGCGTGATTAGAGCAAATCCATTACTTCGTGGTCTCGAAACATATTCATAATCCCCTGAGGCCTTTCACTTACTGACTGTCTGAGATTTGGAGTGTATGAATAATGTTTGCTTCTGATTATTTTGTTTGAAATAAAGTAATAGTAATCCAGAGGATTTTTTTTCTTCTCCCATCGTGAGAGATTTCCATTTAAGTGATAAATTTCACATCTCGATATGGGGACAAAGAGGTATTTCATGGAGGGACAATTATATTATAGACATTGAATTGCCTCCGGCAGAACATGTTAGCTGCTAAGCGTATAATATCGTAATACCAGCCATGGATTTGGAAACTTGAGAGCAGTGTGCAAATAAAGTTAATTCATTTTAATTTTATTGAATTTGATATAAAGGATCATCATTGCTTATGGTATTTCCTGCAACGAAACATATAAGTTTTTCACGCTTAACGTTGAAATAGCTGAAATAAAAACATCTGTTAAAGATACTATGTCCCTTTTGCAGCCAACATTAAAATTATGTAGAACTTTGCAAGAATTATGAATATGTCATGTATGTCCTATCTGTGAAATTTAAACCTTAGCAGTGTCCTAATATTCAAATTATGCAAGGAAATCCGTTTACTTGCTAGACTTCACTGTCAGACACTATTGAGTGACTGACTGGCTTTTTTCATCTTTGATATTGAATAACATACATATTAAAATGAGCTGTAAAGGGTACATGAGCATTTGCCTACATCAATAACCCACTTTTGTAATGGCCAAAATTAAACTGATTAATCTTTGCGCAGCATAAAATGTAAGACCATTCGATACAGTGGTCTAAAAAAATCAGACTACTACTTACTGGCTCTATAGCTCCTAAGTCGATTTGACAACTAATAGTCGTTATTTTTCCACTTAAAGACATTTTCAAGCCCCCCTTTTTTTAGGGAAGTTCTAAATGAGTAGTGTCTTTCAAATGCCGTTGGAATTTAACCTTTTCATTTTTTTTGGCCTGCAAATGGGACATAGTACCTTTAAGTAACGTCGATACGGCGATAACCTAAATAACATGGGATGCCGAACAAAACCGAATTTAATCATTCAAATATTAGTCTTTGAATTGTATCTGTCGCTAAGAATAGACGGTAGGAATGATAACTTCCTGTGTAAGAAGAAGAGAAGGAGAAGAAGAAGGATAAGAAGAAGATGAAGAAAAAGAAGAAGAAGAAGGGGACGGAGAAATAGGAGGAGGAGAAGAAGAAGGAAAACATGGAAAATGAGAAGAAGCAGAAGAAGAAGAGGAAGGGGACGGAGAAATAGAAGGAGAAGAAGAAGAATGAGAAGGTGAAGAAGAAAAAGAAGAAAGAGGAGAAGTAAAAGGAGAAGAAGAAGAAGGAAAACATGGAGAATGAGAAGAAGGGGTAGAAGAAAGATAAGAAGAAGATAAAGAAGAAGGAGAAGAAGGGGAAGAAGAAGAAGAATAAATGAGCACGGGCATTTATTAAAAGTTAGAAATCTAACATAACAAATATTCTGGAGACATAAACTTTGAAGAATTTTTTAAAAATTCAATTCAACAAGTTTTTTAATATTTTTTTAATTTTTAAAAAAAAATCTATTTCAGAAAATTAAATTATTCAATGTAATATATTCTGGGGGGTGTTTCACAAAGAACCTAGGTCGAATTTAACTCTAAGTTGGACTTAAAAGTTATGGAGAGCCATTCATGTGCTTAAAATAAAATAAATTCAAAAGCAAAAATTCCAATATTTTTGACTTTTCATAAATTCCACATCAAGAACATAAAATCTCCTGTGATAATAGAAAATATGAATGATATTTATCAACATTTTATGCCTCGTAAAATAACTTTTATAAAATATTTTCAAAGAAGCTAATGGCTTTCCATAATTGTTAAGTCCAACTTAGAGCTAAGTTCTACTTAGGATCTTTGTGAAACACCCGCCTGATGTATTTCCTTAAACTTATATCAATGTATGATATATAAATAAAACACGATCGCAATTATTTTCGAAAAATCAGCTAAAGGTCAATATCAATATTCTATTGTATATCTCATTTGAATTGAGTTCGGATTACGTAATACGTCATGTTCCCACATTTTAAAGAGAAGGTTGAGTTCTGGGAAGAGGCGAACAATAATTTGAGAGCGTCATAATTGTTATTATGCAAATGTGGAAAAACATCAGA